AACATTAAAAGAAAGCTACATTGCTACTAAGGAAATAACCTAATATATATATGTAATTAAGAACAATTGATGATTAAACAATTACTTACATTTATTTGCATTGAACACTTAACAACACGGAAGTATGTGGAAATTGGGCCCTGGCACTTGGCGTCCCAGATGCAGAACTGCACATTACATGAGATTTAGCAGGAAGGAGGTCGCCGTATTATAAATTTAGAATATTTGGCAGTTGGCAGAAGTTATGCTGGAATTTTGTAACGGTGCGCTGGAAAGCGCTCACAGTGCACAAATCTCTCTTTGACTTTAACTCAAAAATCTTTGTTTTTACTGTCAGTTGCATTAGCATTTTTGAATGTTCTATTACTATAACTATGTTTGAAGGAAATCCCTTTATTCAGTCCAAATGGCTTGTAGACTAATTTTGCGTCAGTTTTCTGGTCTATGGATTCTTAGCTTGAGAGTATACAAAAAGTCGAGGTTAAAGTTGGGGCATTTTTTATGGGCCCTTGGGCATGCATGGTCCCCAGAGTAGTTGCCCCCCCCCCCTCTCGATGAGCCTGCCGACTATACGCAGTTTGATGTATGAATCTAGGCCTATGCTAGACAGAAAATCGACAGTTAGGCCCACTGTTGCGATAAATCAACATGATGCTGTAGTCCAGCAGGTATCTCCCTCAAAAAATATAGGAAAGACATAAAAGACACATATTTTAACATTTCTAACGAAAGAACATCAGACTAGTTTTTATTGAGTTTTCATATTTTTCTGAAATAAAGAAGACACAATACCAAAATCTTCACTGATCTTACAATTAAAGATGGCAAAATAACGTGTTTTTGTACTTATCTTACTGCTTCTGAAGTTAGGTAATATATGTTTGCCTGTCTGAAGTAAACATGAGTCAAAAGCAAATTTTTGTTGGTGTTAACGTTACTTCCAGAATTAGGAACCTTGCATTCATGTTTATTTTTCTAAAACTTGTATAGTACAATAGCAAACCTTTTGTGTTGACCTTATTACATCTACATTGCTTGCAAGGCCATTGTAATAACATTCTGGGCCCACTGTTAAATATTTAAATGTAGACACATTTCAGTGGTTAAATTTGACATGAAAGTTAGAAATTTATCTTATCTACTTATAAATATACATTTTTCATCCATGACCTTAGTACAACTACTAGCATTGCTTACATGACAATCTCAATAATATTCTGGGCCCCATACTAGGTATTTAAATGTAAATCCATTTTAACAACTCTTCTAAATAATTAAAGATGACACCTCAGATGCAACCATGATTGTAGCCAGCTTCTCTCCTAAACAACTTTCCAGCCATTATCTTACCAAAATGTCCTCAACATTGTAAATACAGGAACCCTGACACATTGATAAGTGGTAAGCATCTGCTCTAGGGTGGCAGAATGATGGGCAGTTTGTCCATTGGCTCTCCTTGACCCCAGGTTCCTCTGTGATCCATGGTTGACTTGGCAGTTTACCTTTCAGATTGAGAAGCTGACCACTGCCCCATGAACCATTTATTTTGCCATTTGTTGCCCATTGCCCCCATTCTCTCTCTCTGGTTTTCTTGGGTGATTTGACCAGAGCTAAGGTTGGATTACTCTGGCTGGCATAAGTCTGGAAGTCTTCTGCAGACTGTTACATTTGGTCTCAGTCTCATCAGATGCACACCACTGTAACAATCAATTTTCAGTTGTCTGTGTTTCTCTTGCACTGAGGGTGGAGGACATGAACAAACCATTCTACGGGTAGCAGACATCAGTGGCTCATCTTTCTGAGTCATTGGCTGTAATGAAATAGAAGTCATGGACCTTTGAAATATTAGTGAAGTTCTGATGTCCACAAGAGGACATCTCCTAGACCTAAAAAATCTCAGAAAACCATCTTCTTCAATGACTGACTCTCCCTCTTAGCCATATGCCTTTCTAATTGTCACCTATTTCATTTCCTGGTCTAAGAAGCCTTTTTAAACTTAAAAGCATAAAATTCCAAGTAAATGACAAAACATACTTTAGGAGAAACAGCAAACTCTGCAATTACCTGTTCTGCCTATAGGATTTATAGTTGTAATGTTGCAAGATATGCAAGAAAGTCAACAGCTAGTGCCCTTCAATGATGTTGTGGGTAGTGCTAGTTGCTCTAGTTAAATCTGATGTTATTTTCAAAGTAAGGAATGTTGAATTTAAACAGCCTGATACAAGAATTCAGCATGATCAGTTGAAGATGTAACATCCACTAGAAGCAACAGTTACATGTTTAACAATAGCAAGTACATGCACACTTTGTTTGTGAATTAACAATTTGTTCATTTTGAGCATTACTTTGTGTCCAAGTCTCTTTCTTTCTCATAAATATTATGACTGACTCCCCAGCTAGTCTTTGGACCTATCCCATCACTCTTAAGTTAATTCAGTTCAATTCGAGTATACCACAGGCTGGACAAATTTTTAGTGCCGAGACTACAGGATATCTCTTATCTCTTACAAAATTACAAAGGAAATAAAATCAAGAGGAACCTAATGACTTCCTTCACCATGTGTTATGTGAAACCTACACATATACAATAAATGGTTAACTTTGAATAAATATCATCCTAATACAAGAAGACAGATATGCATGGTATTTTCATATACCACACTTCTCATCTGTTATCATTTGCAGATAAAGACTTTAATTCAGTATGACAGCTCAAACCATCAAGATTTGTAATGTCAAAGAAGCAAATAAGCCAAACAAGGAGTTAATCTAGATTCCATACTTGTAGGTTGGATCATAAGTCTGATTATGAAATATAAGATTTCTTTTTAAACATGCATCAGTAATTTCTTCAAGTTATTCTTTAACAGATTGGTATTGTTATCTGTTTTATTCTTCAATCATTTTATACTTTTTATAATTTGTGGTTTTTCAATTATGTATTTTATTTTGTATATTGTTATTAATTAATTTGTTTTTTAGTCGGTCATAGTTTGAATCTTGATTCCAACTTTACTACAGTGTTTACTTCTTCCTTTACAATTTGTGGTTTTTACATTATGTATTTTATTTTGTATATTGTTATTAATTAATTTGTTTTTAGTCAGTCATAGTTTGAACCTTGATTCCAACTTTACTACAGTGTTTACTTCATCCGTTATAATTTGTGGTTTTTACCCGTGTTAGTATGTTTTCTTTATTCTTATTAATATATTTCTTCTTGAAAGCTTAAAATTTTACACAAGGTATTAAATTTCTCGTATAATTTTAAACTTATTCTTTCAATCCTGAATACCTAATTGCTTTACCCTAGGTGTAAAGTTCCACTCTTTATTGATAGGGTCCGGCATGGACAGGTGGTTAGGGCACTCGACTCGCAATCTGTGGGTCGCAGGTTCGAATCTTCGTCACACCAAACATGCTTGCTCTTTCAGCCATGGGGGCATTATAATGTGATGGTCAATCCTACTATTCGTTGGCAAAGGAGTAGCCCATGAGTTAGCGGTGGGTGGTGACGGCTAGCTGCCTTCCCTCTAGTCTTACACTGCTAAGTTAGGGACGGCTAGTGCAGATAGCCCTCGTGTAGCTTTGCGCGAAATCCGTAACAAACAAACAAACTTTATTGATAATTTCTTTGTTTGATTTTTTTGAAGAACTACTCATTTTACCATAGATATAAAGTTCCATACATTATAAATAATTTATTTGTTATTCCTGAATAGTTAGCTTTAGACCATCAGCCTTCTTACCTTGTTCATATGTTTCTTTTCCTAAACATATATTAATTTTAGCCTATACATAAAACTTTCAGTTGCTATGATTAAATTATGCATATTTTCTTCACAAGTGAATGACTTGGGTACAGATTTATCCAAACCAAAATGAAATTTTTGTATGTTTTAGCAACTTTTTAAGTGTAGTAAATGAAAAAAAAGCAAATATATATATATTATATGGTGGATATCTAAAATTTTTAATCCATAGAATATTTACTTGTGTCCAAATATAGATAAAACAGAAAATAACGACTGACTTTGCAGTAGAGTTTTGTACATATATTCCTAGATTTAATTTTTAAAATGGATGTTCATGTGCAAATACCTAATATTTTGTGACTTTATAAGCATATCGTCCACTTCCACTTCTGGAAGACACTAAATACCAACGTATATGTACTAAATCATAAAAGCTAGAGTGCTAAAGTAATAACTTTTCTGAATAAAATATATACATAGATTTTTTTTCTTTTCCAGAATTCCAGGAAAATATCCTTCATTTACTTAAAGAGTCTCTGGAACAGGCAGAACTGGAGATTTTTGAAGCTGAATTAGGATGTAATGGAGTTAGTGTCGCTTACAACTGAAGTGTTCTTTGTACCATTTGATTACTTAGTTTATATATATATATATATATATATATACTAGTAATGTGTTAACAGTGAATATGCTTTAACTTTAGGCTATTAAATTAAATTTTCTGAATCAGTTTGTCCACACACATAGCTGTGTCTCATGTTTCCTTTTTTGTGGGATAGGAAGTTAAATTATTTTTTCTACATAACAAATTGAATTGATTTAAAAAAAAAATACATACAGGAATCTGAATATAAGTAGTCTTGTATAAAACTAAAGTGACCATTTCAAATTTCCTTGCTGTATAACCTAGAATTCAAGTAATGTAACATATTTTACACGTTTTAAACATCATGTGACTACTTATTCTTTAGAACAAATATTTAACACACTTTTTTTGTTTAAAAAATATAGACAAAACTATGTTTACTGTACACACTAAAATTAAAAATGACTCTACATGTTTCGGTAGCTTCCGCTACCATCACCAAAAGTAAAAATCTACACGAACAGTGGGTTTTTATATAAGAATGGCCAGACTCACTGTAATTCACGAGGGTTACATGAATACTGCATATATGAAGTCAATATTTCTCTCCAAAATTCAGCAATATCGCCAGTCAACCCTTCGTCTCTATTTAACAAATGGTTATTTAATTTACGTTTACACAAAATTTCGATAGATTCATTTTAAATTATTGTTTTATGCCACTTTAGCCAGCTGAGAAATTAACATCTCGTTATTACGTACATAACCTTTATGTTCGTTACATCAATTACATTTAGTTTGGCCAATATATTTTTTGTTACATTCACATCTAATATGACATACACTATTTTTTTTTTTTTTTTTTGAAATACATTTTTTTATTTTTAGTGATAGGAAGTATTGTTTTCATTTTATTAAACGGATTAAAAATGGGGAAGAAAATTATTTTTTCTAAATACATTGGCAACTTCACTAGTTGTACCAGTTATAAAGTTTATTGCACAATGTTGCCCTATTTTTATTTTGCACTTTTTTGTGTTTTTATGTAAATTATCTATTGGTCTGAAAGCAGATATGATCCGAGTGAAATTTAAAATCATGCATTTACTTTCTTTGCAAGTTTGGGCAAAAGTTATCTACTTTTGAAAGATATCAAAAGTATGAAAATTGCAGTAAGCTTAAAATTTCTTCTTCGACAAATATCTGAATTTTCTTTCACATTTACCACTTCATAGGATTGAAATGGGAAAATAATGTCAAATATAAAAAAAAAGAGGCTTATTGCAGTTTTGGTTGTTCTAATGTAATTTTGTATAACCAACATAAACAAAAATTACAGTGGTCAAGAAGAAATATTTAATTGTCTTTATAAAATATCTAATTATTGCAAGTTTTTCCCAAATCTACCATTGTACACTGGAAAGAAGACAAGTGCCAGTTCCAAGAATACAGTAAATAGAAAATTGTAAAATATTTAGTGTGAATTGTTGACTTTTAATTTACATACTTCGTTTTGATGTTGTTTGAGGACTAATATTTTGAAAATAAAGCAACCATATTATTGTAACATCTAAACTTACCGAGCTCCGATTATCTTCTAATTTGCTCACTTTCATCACTGTTTCATTTCATTTGTTTCACACTTTTGACATTGTTGATTCATTATTTGCTTTTGTTGCAAATGAAAATATTTAGATTGCTTTAAAACAGTGTGGAGTTTTAATTTTTTAACTTTACCAAAGATAACTGCATTTTCCACCTAAAACTGTACATTCTGCTGGTATGTTACTTGTGTCCTTAATTCAGTTTTTAATATTTTAGTACAATTTCCAATAAAAGCTTTCAAGTACATTATTGTTTTCAAAAATACATTTACTTACAATTAATGTGTGAGCAGTAATAAACTAGCTTGGTCAAGAATCAGGCAGGTGACAGCACCGTCTATATAGGGATTGCTTGGATTGTTCATCAGAATGCTATTTTAAATATCTCCTAGTCAGGACTTTACAATACTTTACAGTGTTTCCGTTTATAATAATATCTATGTAATGGCTGTAAATATCATAGCAAAAAAGTTAGAATTTCTTCTTTCTTTATTACATGATAACTTAAAAACCACCAATGTCATCCAAATTCACTGTGGTGAAAAGTTTCAAATGGAGTATCCACTTTTATAAGTATTATTAACTAATAATAAGTAGAAAAAACAAATCGTAATTCTAGTGTAAACAATGTCATCATTACCCCTTGAACTTAGCTTTCTTACAGAAATTTGGTGTTTCTTTAAAAAGCTTAAGTAGAGGGTGAAACAGGAATTACCAGCCAATAATAGATAAACAAAAAAATATTACAGTTGGAACCTCATTGTATTTAAAACTTGGTTATGAATACAACCTTTCTATGTCTGTTGAAACACTGCATTAAAAACCGAGTAAAGAAAAACCTTTTCAAAAAAGGAAGTAGATGTCGGGATGGCTAATATCAATCCTTCAAAAACAATGTAAACATCTTCTTTACCTTGTGCAGATGGAAATTAATCACTAATATTCACACACTTTGATTTCACTTGTCAGCAAGATCAGTTGTTGAAACAGCAGTTATGTTTTCATACTTTAAAACATTTTTTCTATTATAAAAGTAATTGTATACCACTGTTTAAAAACAAATATTTTATATGTGTACATTGGTAAAACAATTTTTACCAATATGAAGGTAATTATACACTGCCCTGTTTAGAACAAACATTGTGTGGTACCAAACATGATCAGAATTGGTGAAAGCAAAAGAATGAGGAAGGGCCGATTAATACCAGTACACAAAAACTATCTCGCTACATACAAGATGAAGATGGTTACTACAGAAATTTAAAACTCAGTACACTATAACTATCTCACTACATACAACTTCAAGATGGTTACTACAGTAATTTAAAATCCAGTACACTATAACTATCTTACTACATACAAGTTCAAGATGGTTACTACAGAATTTAAAACCCAGTACACTATAACTATCTTACTACATACAAGTTCAAGATGGTTACTACAGTAATTTAAAATCCAGTACACTATAACTATCTTACTACATACAAGTTCAAGATGGTTACTACAGGAATTTAAAACCCAGTACACTATAACTATCTCACTACATACAACTTTAAAATGGTTACTACAGGAATTTAAAACTCAGTACACTATAACTATATTGCTACATACAACTTCAAGATGGTTACTACAGGACTTTAAAACCCAGTACACTATAACTATCTCACTACATGCAACTTCAAGATAGTTACTACAGTAATTGAAAACCCAGTACACTATAACTATCTCACTACATACAACTTCAAGATGGTTACTACAGGAATTTAAAACCCAGTACACTATAACTATCTCACTACATACAACTTTAAAATGGTTACTACAGGAATTTAAAACTCAGTACACTATAACTATCTCACTACATGCAACTTCAAGATGGTTACTACAGGAATTTAAAACCCAGTACACTATAACTATCTCACTACATACAACTTTAAGATGGTTACTACAAGAATTTAAAATCCAGTACACTATAACTATCTCACTACATACAACTTCAAGATGGTTACTACAAGAATTTAAAAC